CCAGGCATATGTGCGCGCACGGCCAAAATCCTGAAAGGAGAAACGGAGAAGGGAATGCAGGTGTGACTGTCACCCACGGGGAGATGCTTTCTCACTTTCCCTTTCTCTGGCTCTCTCTCTCCATTGAGTACATGCACCCTCTGGCAATTTTTTAAAAAAATTAGTAAAGATATATCACTATTAGTTTATTAGTTATAGCATATATACTAAGATGATAAGGGAAACTTCAGGAATATATAGAAACTGTACTCTTTTATCAACTTTACTAAAAATTTAAAGTACAAAATAAAGTCTACTAGGCCAGCAGGTGGTGTGAAGGTTAAGTTTCTACATGGCCAGCAGCCTAGTACAAGTCCCAGATCTGGTGGCTTGAAAAATTAAGCTGAGCAGGGGGCTGGCATGTGGCCTGGTAGTTAAGGCAGCTGAACTCCCACATGGCTGACAGCAGTTCGAGTCCTAGATCTGGCAGCTTGCTTTCTCATTTTCTCTCTCTCCCTCTCTCTCTGTCTCTCTCTGGTCAACTTCCAAAAAAATAATAATGACAATAAATAAAATTAAATAATTCTTTAATTTAAAAAAAGAAAAGAAAAGAAAAGGAATCAAGACTGGCACGTGTGTACCCAAAATCCTAAAAGAGGCTGGAGAAGGAATTGCAGAACGGTCATCTCTTTAAGAAATGGTTTCTCACTTTCTTATTCTTTCTCTCTCTCTGGTAAGCACATCCACCCAAAGGCAAAAAAAAAAAAAGTTGTATAAAACAAAATACTATTTTCTTATCTTTTTATTTTTTATTTACTTGCCAACACACCCCACATAGGCAACGGAATTATGAAGAAAGGTAATACGAGAGAAACAAAAAGCAAGGTTGCATTTAAGAACAGGACCAGGAAGAAATCAATTCAAGATCAAAAACAGTTCAAAAATCAAGGAAAAGTTCCTAAGTTTGTAATTATTATGAGAATAAGTTCACCTGCCAAGGGTCTGCCTTTTGTTGTGTTATTTACTGACCTTATGCTCCAAATCACCATTACTGGAATTCAACTAATAATATATAAAATACATCATCAGGGATATCCAAGAAAGGACAAATATTATACAAAAATCAATACATAATCTAGTTTTAATTTAAGATTGAAAATAAGGTGTGTGCATTGGTAAAGAATAGTGGCAATACAATCTATGGAATGTGATTACATTTTAAAACCTTTAGGATCCAAATAGCCAACGTGACAGAGAATTCTATTTTCTCACTATTAGAGATACCAGATTATGGGGCGACAGGTGGTGTAATGGCTATGCTGTTGAATTCCCACATGGCCAACCATGGTCAGATTCTGGATCTGGTGGTTTGAAAATCATGCTGGGTGCATGTGTGTGTGTGTGCCCAAGATCCAGAGGAGAATGGAGGAGAAGGGATTGTGCTGAGACCAGCCCTCTCTCCCAGGAGGGTGATTTCTTACTTTTCCTCTCACTGTCTGTGTCTCGCACTCTCTTAATCCTGCTGAGTGCACACACCCTGAGGCAAAAGCCTCTTAAAAAATAAAATGCCAGGTTATCAATATAGCACAAATCAAATATTAAATTTCAATGAAAACTTCAAACTAAATTAAAAGAAACCTTAGTATTCCCCTACAGGGTAATCCTGGATTACATCTGAAATATTATAATTTTTAAAGATAGATGTGGTCTTTCTTTTAGAGCTACTGGAAGATCTGGTTACGAATACCTTAAGAATGGAAAAAAAAAAAAAGAGTACCCTAAGAGTAGATCTCAAAGAGTACCTTAAGAATGGAAAAAAAAATAAAAAAATAAAAAAAAGAGTACCCTAAGAGTAGATCTCAGCCTGTAGATAAGTCACCAATGTGGTGTACAAATCATTTATTTGACAAACTTGCCCTTTCGGTAGTTCCATTTTCAAAGAGTAATATTGAATCGTTGCCCTAAAATCAAAGTTCCTGCACAGCAATTCATTTTCATTAAAAAAAAAAAAAAGAAAAGAAAAAGAATGAACTTCATTTGCATTTTCTAAAGAAAATAGCAAGGTTTTCTCTTCCCAGAAACAGGATTTACATTCTCCATTATCTCCAACTTGAAGGTTAGAGAGTAAACTAAAAGGGGGAGGGGAAAGTTTACTGAAACAGCTGTAAACACAAACTAATCAAAGCAATATTCCCTGGCCTAAAATTTGGTTGCCCTTTACCCCTTGAAACAATCGAGTGCCTCCCAGCGGGGTAGGAACCTACACTATTCCAATAATTTACATAAGAAATTAGCAACCAAAATTTACATCTAAATAGTAAACCCCAGCACCCTATCAGGTGTTAAGTATCTGCTTATCTAAATTGCCTCTAAAAATAGCTTTACCTTCCTTTAAACCTTAGGTAAATAAGGGATTTCCCATGAAGGGAAGATGCTGAGTGGAAAGAAGCCCAGGGAAGCCTATTGCCCTATTTCACTGCCATTTTTATTAGGAAAACCTCAGGGCTTCAGAGTAAGACCCTTAAAACTACCTTAGAATGAGCCAATTTGAAAGAACCCCATACAGAATATAAACCATCACATTATACATTGTTTTTTAACTTGAAATTCTTTCTCGTCCCAGGAGAATTCAAAGGGAGAAATGGATAATAAACATTAACTACAAGAACCTAAAGTACCTGGGGGACCAGCAGGTGGCATGGTGGTTAAAGCGCTGGATGCTCCCACATGGCCAACCATGGTTCAAGTCCTGGACCTGGTGGCTTGCTTTCTCACTTTCCCTCTCTCTCTCTCTCTGGTCAAATTAAAATAAATTAATGAATAAATAAAATTAAATAAATAATTCTTTTTTTTTTTTAAAGAATCTAAAGTACCTGATGTGAGAATTCTACGTTTTTCAGGTTGTCTTGGAATTCGAAGATAGTTCTTTGTCCTCAGAAAAATTACACCTCCTTTATCTTTAAAATAGCAATGACCTGGGACCAGCAGTTGGCATAATGGCTATGTCGCTGGACTCCCATGTAGTCAACCGTGGTTCGAGTCCCAGACCTGGTGGCTTAAACTCACGCCGGGGGCGTTTGTGTGCGGTGCCCAAGAGGAGAATGAAGAAGGGATTGCAGTGTGGCCATCCCCCTGGGGGGTGATTTCTTACTTTCTGTCTGTCAGTCTTTGTTTGTCTTTCTGGTGAGTGCACACGCCCTATAGCAAAAACCTCTCAAAAACAAAACAAAACAAAACAAACAACAACAACAACAAAAAAAACAGCAATGAGACTTCCTGTATACGTTTCATGTTTCCATGTTTAAAACTTATTGCTATCACTGAGTTTCTATCTTGGTGGTACTAAACAGTTTCCTACACCTGGTTATAAATAATACCAGTGCCAGGTATCCCAATAGGCAAGTTTAAAACATCCCTACGGCACAGGAAAGACGGCAGACACTCTCTCCTTTTTTGTTTGTTTATTTGTTTGTTTGTTTTTGTATTTCAAAGTCATCCTCTAAAGTTCTTATTCAGGTTCTATTCTATTCTCACATCTAACAAGATTTTCAATGAAAATTCAACAATATCTTAAGCATTACTTAAATTTCTAGCTTGTTATTGGGTAAAAATGGGTTGAATGCTCAATTAAATTAAAGGCATGAACATAGACATAAAGCAAAGAAACAGAAATATGTTAGTCACTCCCTATACCTCTACAGATGTCAAGGCTTGTTTTATGCCAGTAATGAATAATTCCAGATATGTGACTACTGCATGAAGTTCGTACTTTAATTTCATTTGTCCATAAACTTTCTAAAGTTTCATTTATGTTATATTAAGTCTGAGCAAAAGAAACCAACCATAAATGGCAACAAATTCATGTGCTAGAGGCAGGGCCAACTCAAAGAGCAGTAAACCGATTGCTAGAGATACTTGCAGTGTGTGACCCAGGCACAGATAAACTACTAGGACAATTACCCAGGTCTCCGCATTCCCTGGGTAGGGGATTTTGACCCCTTTATCAGATTCTCAACAAAATGTCAAGAGAAAATAAAACTCCTGAACAATGCAAACTATTTAACTGGCTTTGCATATTCGAATCCCTAGTTTAACTCAGAATATTTGCACTTCAAGCTTTGGAAAGAGAATGTCCTGAGATTTTAACCCTCTTCTTTCTCTTTCCCCACAAGCTTTTCATGCACTAACATCCCCTCGGGATCTTAGGCAAGCACACATACATGCCAGTGTGAATTTCAAGCCTCTGGGTCAGGGACTTGAACCTCAGTTGACTATGTGAGAGTCTAGCAATGTAACTATTATGCCATCTGCAAGTCCTAGTGACTAGTTCTAACCACAACACCGTCAGCCTGAGACATGCCAGGCAAGTGTGTAAGTGCCCCCAAAACTGATGGGCTGGAGGAGCAGAGGAGGGGGATCACGATGTGCCCAGACTGCAGAGGGTGCTCATCTGTGTCTCTCCTCTGTCACTCTCACGTGCATAAGCACCTGTTCTATCATGAATAAAGAAAATATTACTGTAAACATTTACATTTCCATTTTCAATTTATAATTTCTACATTTTCAACATATTCACATTTCAATCCTCTATCCTAGATGAGTACTTAAAATAAATGTAAACATAAAACATCTGATATCTCTATCATTGACTCCTTTTACAAGGAGTCTATAAAGAATTAGGAAGAGGGAACATTACAAAGTTCCTTAAAGAGCAGCATCTTTGCAGGAAGTACATGGAGGACTGAAAAAGCCTTGACCTAAATCTAGACTGGGCCTTAGCTGCAGAGCATCTCAGAGAAGTCACTCAACCGTGAATCTCAGTCTTTTCGTCCATGAGATGGGGTGATAATGTCTTTCTTATAGACACCTGCTATGGAGTCAGAGGAGATCATGTGAGAACATAACCACTTTTCATTCCTTTCCATAATTACTGGCTTCTAGCCTTAAGCACAACTCTGAATAACTAAAACTGGGCCAGCCACTACTAGAGCGAAAATTGCAAAAAGAGAACTGAAACCCACCATCTGTAGTGCAAGATCCTTCTGGGGCAGGTTTTTGTGAATAGGGAATTGGTGGGCTGTTTGAATCAGACATTTCTTCGTCATCTTCGTCATCTTCCATTTCATTCGCTGTTAGATTGTTAGAAAAATCCAGGCTTCCATTTTGAGTGTAGCGGTGTACCAAATCTTTATCCAGATCCTCCACTTTAGGTTTTACATCTGGGTAAACAATATATCACAGCCAATGTAATAAAAAGACACTCGCGTAAAAATAATCAGAAGAAAAGTCATAGTTCTGACGGACATATTCGAGGAAGAGGAGACTAGCATTTTTTAACATTTAGCCAATTTTGAAGGTCCCGAGATTAGGAATTCCTTTTTTTCCCCCAGGCAGGATCTCACTATGTCCTGATCCTTCTGCCTCAGCCTTCTGGTTGGGACTGCAGGTGGGCACCACAGGAACCTGCTTTGTTGCACAGGGCAGCATCAAATTCGTGATCCTCCTGCCTCAGTCTCCTGAGTCACTGGGATTACAGGCTCGTACTACTGCCCCCAGCCTTTAGGCTGGATCCGGATATAACCCCAGCCACCCACATGGAGCCAGGCTTGCAGCACAGCATTGCAGCAGCCTGGACCTGCACTGGAATCCCTACCCCTTTCACAAGGAGCTTATAAATGTGTGTGATCGAGAAATTTACCTGCAGAGGAGAAAGGATGCTGGTCAGGGTCCAAGTACAGCTGGGAAAAAATAGGCCGTGGTACCACATTACTACATCTGAGAGAGGCTTCTATGGAGTTGTGAAGAGCTTCTTCAAATCGAGCAGATTTCAGTTGCCCAGCATACGAATTTCCCATGGTCTGTACCCATACCCCCCCACCACCAAAAAAAGGAAAAAGGAGGGAAAAAGGAGAAAATTGTTATAATTAAAGGTTATATGCCTGCTAAGTACATAAGTAGGTAACACAAAATATATCCATATATCCTGTTAAGATATGAACTGTATGGACTATGTATATATCTTAAAACAATTTGTGTAAGTTACCTGTTTTCATATCACTTGGGCATTTTACTTTTTTTTTAAAGAGCTATTTTATTTATGATCATTATCACTTATTATTATTAATTTGACCAGAGAGTGAGACAGAGAAAGAGAGAGGAAGGGAGAATGAGAAAGTAAGCCGCCAGGTCCAGGACTTGAACCGTGATCAGCCATGTGGGAGTCCAACACCTCAACCACCACGCCACCTGCAGATCCCTGTGCATTTAGTTTTTACAGCCCATTTCAAAGGATCTAGTATCTAAAAATCAACAAGTAATAAACGCTTTAAGTCTAGGCTCTCTAACCAGGAAATCAAGATTGACCTGTTAATCGTGAAGTCTTACCTGGTTAACAAAGGCACCAGACCTCTTCCTTAAAATCGGTAAGCTATCATAACCCCCTATCAATTCTACAAGTGATTTCAGAGAGCTCCTGACCCTCAGTATCTACACAGGATTGGTTCCAGGACTCCTGGATACCCAAATCTGCTGATGGCTCAAGTCCTTTAAATAAAATGGCATAGTGTAAAACCTAAACACATCTTCCCATAAACTTTAAATCATCTCTGGATACTTACAAGTAATCTTAGCATCAAATATAAGTGAAAAGGAAAATATAAATGTTAGCATCTCTCTTTTGCAAGCCACCTCTTTCCCCATTCCATAATTGGTGCGGCCTGGCTGTATCCATGACTGGTTGAATGCACTCAGTGGAAGTAATTAATATCTAATTACTTGCCTCTCTCCTTTATTTTTTTTAAAGAATTATTTTATTTAACTTTATTTATTTACTTATTTATTTTTATTTGACCATAGAGGGACAGAGAGAGAGAGAGAGAAAGTAAGAAAGCAAGCTGCCAGGCCCGAGACCTGAACCATGGTCAGCCACATGGGAGCCCAGAGCCCTTAACCATCACGCCACCTGCAGCCCTAACTTGCTTCCCTTCTAAGATTTTATTTATTTATTTATTTAATTTGCCATGCTTGTTGGAGAGAAACACAGAGAAAAAGAAAGTGAGAAAGCACTGCTCCCCCTCCCCCCATGCTGACCGGTCACCCTGCAATCACTTCTCCTCCATCTCTCTCTCCTTTTGGGATTTTGAGCACCTATACATACATGCCCAGCATGTTTAAGCCACCAGTTCCAGGATTCAAACCACACAGTTGACCATGTGGGATTCAGCCACCTTAATCACCAAGCCACAGGCTGGTTTGTAAGATCTATTACTCTAGAAAAAAATAAGAAAAAGCTCTACTTTGGGAAGAATACAAAGTTTTAGTTAACAGTTTTTTGAAGGATTTAACCCTTTTAAACCCAAGGAGCTCATTTATGTATTATCCCTGATCTGCCTTCATATAGCGAAGAAGGAAGAAAGGAGAAAATTGAGGTAGAGGTTAGATGTCTTACATGATTCCTGGTGGCAATTAGTACTACACAGTGATTTCCATCAGAGTGGCTGGGCTTGTTGAGGCTTATCAGAAATTTCTACATTTTGGGCTGGCGAGTGGCATAGTGATTAAGGCACTGGACTCCTACGTGGTTGAACATGGTTCAAGTCCTGGACCTGGAAGCTTGCTTTCTTATTTTCTCTCTCTATCCCTTTGTCTCTCTCTCTCTCTCTCTCTCTCTCGTCAAATAATAATAATAATGATCATGAATAAAATTAAATAAAATAGTTCTTTTAAAAAACCTTGTATAAAATTCCCTTCAGGCTATGTGTATATGATGTATTGGGCCATCAGAAAAGTCGTGATGCATTTTGCCTAGAAAAACATAGAAAAATACGTCATGACTTTCTTGACCACCTAATATATGAATTTTGTGTTTAGACTTAGGTCCCATCCCCAGGATATCTCATTCAGAGTATGCAACTCTTCCAAAATCTGAAAAACATCCCAAATCCAAAACACTTTGGGTCCCAAGCATTTCGGATAAGGGATACTCAACCTGGATTCGGAAAGGATGCTTGAGCGCTTCTCTGATGTGAACTGGGGGAGATGAGGGAGTGTGACCCACATAGCCTATGTGCACAGAAATGGAACCAGCCGACTCCAGCTACACTGGGAGGACGGACTTGGCCGAAAGCAAGCTGCCAGGCCCGAGACTTGAACCATGGTCAGCCACATGGGAGCCCAGAGCCCTTAACCATCACGCCACCTGCAGCCCTAACTTGCTTCCCTTCTAAGATTTTATTTATTTATTTATTTAATTTGCCATGCTTGTTGGAGAGAAACACAGAGAAAAAGAAAGTGAGAAAGCACTGCTCCCCCTCCCCCCATGCTGACCGGTCACCCTGCAATCACTTCTCCTCCATCTCTCTCTCCTTTTGGGATTTTGAGCACCTATACATACATGCCCAGCATGTTTAAGCCACCAGTTCCAGGACTCAAACCACACAGTTGACCATGTGGGATTCAGCCACCTTAATCACCAAGCCACAGGCTGGTTTGTAAGATCTATTACTCTAGAAAAAAATAAGAAAAAGCTCTACTTTGGGAAGAATACAAAGTTTTAGTTAACAGTTTTTTGAAGGATTTAACCCTTTTAAACCCAAGGAGCTCATTTATGTATTATCCCTGATCTGCCTTCATATAGCGAAGAAGGAAGAAAGGAGAAAATTGAGGTAGAGGTTAGATGTCTTACATGATTCCTGGTGGCAATTAGTACTACACAGTGATTTCCATCAGAGTGGCTGGGCTTGTTGAGGCTTATCTTAAATTTCTACATTTTGGGCTGGCGAGTGGCATAGTGATTAAGGCACTGGACTCCTACGTGGTTGAACATGGTTCAAGTCCTGGACCTGGAAGCTTGCTTTCTTATTTTCTCTCTCTATCCCTTTGTCTCTCTCTCTCTCTCTCTCTCTCTCGTCAAATAATAATAATAATGATCATGAATAAAATTAAATAAAATAGTTCTTTTAAAAAACCTTGTATAAAATTCCCTTCAGGCTATGTGTATATGATGTATTGGGCCATCAGAAAAGTCGTGATGCATTTTGCCTAGAAAAACATAGAAAAATACGTCATGACTTTCTTGACCACCTAATATATGAATTTTGTGTTTAGACTTAGGTCCCATCCCCAGGATATCTCATTCAGAGTATGCAACTCTTCCAAAATCTGAAAAACATCCCAAATCCAAAACACTTTGGGTCCCAAGCATTTCGGATAAGGGATACTCATCTCTCTGTCTATCTCTGTCTGTCTGGTGAGCGCACGCGCCCTATAGCAAAAACCTCTCCAAAAAAAAAAGAAATGTCTACATTAGTGAGGACAAGTCAGGATCCTGTTTGGGCAACTTTTAAAATAATAGATAATAAACTAAATGCCATGGATTTGAATTAACAGGTAGATTCTTTTCTTACAAGAAGTATATACCCAAAATATACAACACCCAGTTAAACTTTGGGATGGGAAGGCAGCTGTTGGCATGGTGATTACGGCAGCTAGATCCCATGTCCGACTGTGCGGGTGGAGGGCCAGACCCTGCGCTTGAGAGGATGCGGAATGCATGTGCATGTGTGCCCAGAATCCTGCAAGAAGAATGGAGAAGGTGGGATTGCAGCACAGCCATTGCCCCAGGCCCCAGGGGAAAGGCGGCCCTTCTCACTTCCTCCTCCCTCTCTATGCAGGCACGTTTTTCTCACTCTGTTGAATGCACGTGCCTTATAGTAAAAAAAAAGGTTGGAAATGGAAGAAAATCAACAGCCTGGCAAATGAAATGCTCCTGAAACACACAAAGTTTTTGGTCAAGCTCCTAAGACTTCCCCACTAGTCCAACTATACATAATTAATTCTTCTAAAACTCAAAAGCAACTTATTTTTCAATAGCACTGCACATAGTCAAAGCAGAGTGGAAACTGGAAGAGAAATATTTTGTACTACTAGTTTATGCATCTAAGTCCAAATCCAACAGCCATTTGTTCCTCTTCTTTGCCAAAGGTAGAAAACTACCAGGAACTAGCCAGAGTTAACCTTGGGTTTTCTTCTCTGGGAACAAAGGAATAACTTCAAAGGTGAACTTTCAGCCTTTCTCCTGAGCATCAAAAGCCTAGAAACCTTGCCTTTTCTTAATCTATTACCACCCCAACAAGTTACCTTTTATTCATTAGTGAAAATCTTCAAAACTCTTTATCCTCTCAGACATCTTTTTTGGGGGGGAGTGGGGTGGGGAGGGTGGTAGGAGGTTGCCATACTGCGCTTGCCAGAGAGAGACAGACACAGAGAGGGAAATTGAGAAATGACTCCCCAGGGGGAATGGCCACACTGCAATCCTTTTTCTTCTTGAGATTTTGGGCACACACATGCACACGCACCTGGGGTGATTTTCAAATGGCCAGTTCTGGGACTCCAATCATGATTGACCATGTGAGAGTCCAGAGCCTTAACCATCACACCTGACCTGCTGTCTCTCTCAGACATCTTTTTATTTTTTATTTTTATAAATTGTAAAAAATAAAATATTCATGATCAAGAAGGCATACACACACACAGGAGGAAAAGGGAGGAGAGAGAGGAGAGAAAGAGAGAGAAAAGACCTTTGACAGGGCCTGGTCATGCTGTGGACCCCCTTCCTCCAAACATAGTTCTTGCAAGTTCCTGTACAATATATAATCTAAAACTTAAAATAAGCGTATGGTCACAGTTCTCTTTTGTGCTTTTTTAATATTTCAGTTAATTCTTTTTAAATTGATATTTGTCACTCTTAATTTGGTTTAGTAATTGCTTAATTCTCCCATTAAATTGTGAATTCTGACAGCAAATATTTTATCTAAAACTGAAATTAAGGAGACCAGCAGATGGCATAATGGTTACATTG